AGAACGTTGGGCCGATAGAACCTTCATCCCAGTTCGTCAATCGAACACTGAGGAAGGAGTAATGTTGGGATTGGGCCCAACATTCAATCTGGGCCATGCCCAATAAGCCCAGTCATACATCCACGAGACCCAAATTATGGAGACATACCCACATGTGCAGTGACACGTGGACCAATGGGATACATCAGTACATGGGACTATAAATACCCTCAACTACCTCCATGTAAGGTATTAACTCCACTTCGCTTCTCTCTCTATAATTACTCTTTGAGCGTCTCTCTCGATAATATTGAGTATTTGCTAACTTAAGTATCGGAGTGTTTTCCCGAAAAAACATCTTCAGGAATTTCAGATGTTGAAGCAGACGAAGGAATAGACAGTGTTGGATTGTGAAGCTGCCTAAACAACATGCTTGTCGGCTTGACTTGTCTCTTGGTCATAATCTTCTACGCTCACAAGAGCGATGCCTACGTGCGTATCAACGTGGGTCTCGGCCTATTCGTCGTGGCCTTGCTCGTGGTGCCCGTTTTGAATGCGGTGTACATTAAGGATCAGGTTGGACTGTACGCCGGGTTTTACGCGACGGTGGGAGCGATTGGGTTGTCGGATATAGCAGATGCGCTTGTTCAAGGTGTGCTCATTGGGGCTGTCGGATAATTGCCTGAAAGGTATAAGCAGGCTATTGTTGCAGGAACTGCAGGTTCTGGTAATCTTCTTTGAAACCCTTCTACTGCTACTTCTAGATTTCTATTTTTACTTTTTGTTGCTGGAGCTTAATATGGAAATTAATCTGAAGAATTCTGATTGATAGATCTTGATGGTGCTCTTAATTGATTGGATTTTAAGCTAGATCTTGAGAGCTTCGTTGTTAAGTAACTTAAGGGATTTTGGGATAGAGTAGCTTTAAGCAAGCTATAATGTCAAAGAGCTTAATGTTTAATAATTACATGGCTAACTGTGCTTAAAATAATGGATTTCTACCATCTTCAAGCTGGTTTTAATGTCAAGTTATTTGCTTTTTGTTCTTAATAACTGTACATTTCGAAGCTCATGAATAGGCAATGGAAATTCAATCCGCATTAGATCTGAGCAAAAATATAGCTGAAAGTAGTTGGTATTGGGAAACCTTTGCAGCAATAGAGCTCATAGGTCTTCTAATTGCATGATGCATTGAGAAAGTTGCAAGCTCTCAATTAAGCATCTTTGTTGTCTTTTGTAGGGAGAGTTATATGTGATTTTAATGCTCCCATGAACCCTTAATCCCAAATAATTAAGCTCAGTCCCATGAATTCTTTTCCTTTATTGTGTAAGGTTTAGCTAAACACATGCTTCCTATAAGGTATGCATAAAGTGATCCTTATTTACTATGATACTGCTCCAATTGTGCATTTTATAACAGTGCCAAATCTATTGCTGCTTAAGAGTAATCATGTGCTTTTATTGTGATATGCCATCGGATAATATTGGTCTGCAGGTGTTCTTGTTTCAGTTCTGAGGATCCTGACAAAAGCCATATATCCCCAAGATGAAGATGGCCTGAGAAAAAGTGCTAATCTTTATTTTGCGAATGGGATTGTGGTTATGGTCATATGTATTATCTTGTATAACGTCGCAGAGACTTCCTGTTATGAAGTATTATGAAAAGTTGAAGATTCGGACCAGAAATGAAGCGAAAGAGGAAAGAGGTCCTCTGACGGGGTCTGCTTGGAGATCAAGCTTGTGGATTATAATTGGTGCAGTCCAGTGGTGTGGCCTTGGGATTGTTCTCATATGTATAGTGACCTTGGCAGTATTTCTCTTTTGTATAAATGAAAAGCAGTAAACTGCTATTCAGACAAATTGTGCTTTGAAATTGAAGTAATAAAAAAAACCATGGCCAAGCTCTCATTGTAAAAGCTAAGTTTTTATTCTATGATAATGGGAAGACAACGTACATGATTTACCAAATGAGAATAATCATGTCTGATTGGTAAGCTGTATAAGAATCTACTCTGCAACAATGCAGAAACGGTATTATGCTTTTGACCGCGAAGCGAGACCTGTTTCCACTTTAATTTCAAAAATGAGCATCCTCCACATCTTGAGCACAAACAACTCAGCTTCTTCATCCAATATAGATTGCAACAGCTCCAACATTTCAAATGCTTTCACATGGCCTTGAGTACTGGATACAATGTAATCTACTAGTGTTTTTTCCTCATCACCCAAAAACTCTGATCTTCTTTGAAATCCATGGTCTCATTCTCTCAAGCAGTGCATGCTTTAAAAAAGCACAAAAGAACAGCAAAGTAAAACTGTAGAGCATATTGAAGATGAATAAAGCCAAAGAATCTTGCCTTTGCCAAAGACAAATATGTACAGTTTAAAATCAAAAGCATGGATGATTATCTTGTCATACACATCCCAATTTATCTCATATGAGAACAATTCCTCCTTTGTCTTTGGGATCATATCAATCAACTGTTTGGCATCCAAAAGCTTCTGGTTATCTGTTGTCTTCACCTTATCCAGTCCATGTTCCCTATCCCTGCCTTGCTTGGCAAACTTCTCTTTGTTTCCACCTCTGCTGCGACTTCCATCCTCATCATTGTGGTCTTTATCTTAGCTGGATTTATCATGAGAACGTCTGCTTCTTTCTCCTTCTCCATCAGGCTTCTCTTCTTTGGGTTTATCATTTGATATTCGCTTTGCAAATTCTGCTGCTGCCACCAGATTTGGAGGTGTTGCTCCAGGAACTGTTGGTTGGATAGCGTGCAGTTCCTCTGTTGAATAATCAATGGGAACCAGAGGCCTCATCTTTTTGTCCTTGTGTGCATCATCGTCTTCCTCTTCACCAAAAACAGATGGGAACAGATGTTCGTTTTCCAGACCCAACAAGACCAAACACCAACTTTCTTCCTGCTGCATGGCCACTTTGCCATGCATCAGCTGCATCAACGAATGTCAAGTTTGATTCATCAACTGCACCATTTGCAGATTCCCATCACCTAATATGCATTGTCAGAGCTCAATCAATGGGAAGGATAAAATAGGAAATTTCAAATTAAAGCAATATTTAATGAAAAAGATAAGTAATTACCTAAAGTCGTGTTATGTTCAAAAGACTTTACTTTCCTTTCTATATTAGATTCCTCAGCCAATACAGTTTTCTCACCGCCATTTGCTACACGACTAGACAAAAGTTTTAATGCATCCCTTTGTTGCTGCTGAAGCTGCTCCTCTTCGGCCCTCTTTTTGGCCTCAGCAATTTCTTTTTCTTCCTTGAGTCTGGTTGCCAAATCCTCCTCCTATACCCGTAACCTCCTCTTTTCGTGTAACTCACTCCTACACCACCTTTTTCTTGAATCTTCATCATAGCGAATCTCCTTCCTTCGTTTACGCTCTCTCTCTTTCTACCTTTCCTTCTCATATTGCCTCTGTTTCTCCTTATCCCTTTCTCTTTGCTCCCAATCTCTAAGACACTTCTCATACTCATGCTCTGCTTCATCAATCTTCCTTCTTTGCTCCCTCTCTTTTCTCATCCTTTCTCACTCTGTTACCCTTTCTAATCTTTCAACTTCTCGCTCTTTTTCCCATTTTAAATCCTGCTCTCTGTCTCTGTCTTTACTTCTCCAATCATCTCTATGATCAGGTGAACTTGACTCGGGCTTACCGTACTCTATTGTTGCTTTGCCATCACTAGTGGTCTCATCATCATTTTTTACTACAGCTCCATCCACAGAATTATAAACTCCAGCAACGTTGAAAGGCTTATAATAACAGTCACTCTTCTTGTTAGCAAGATACTTGTTGAAAATGCAAAGACTGCTAACCAAAGCAATTACTCTTTATAGAAAGCAAAGAAACTACAAGTCGCCATGGTAAACCTCACCTGATTGCATTACATCTCCATCAGAATCCCCATCCTTTGATTTTGGCATCTCTGAATTTGACTTCGTGGAACCATCAGGGGCTGGTTGTGCAGGGGGTGGAGGCAAGGGGTTGGTCTTTAACCTCTCCTCAATCATGCTAGTAAGCTTATCCGAAGCTTCTTTGTCTGCCTCCTGGTCTTCGTCAGTTGTAATACCAGAGTTGGCGATGTCAAATTTTTTTTGGTTGCCAGTATCACTGTCCTCCTGGGTATCCTCAACAGAGGCTATTAAAGGTTAATTCTTCCCATTGCTTGCTTCAGTTTCAACCTCTTTCTCATCCCCTGCAGACTGTGTTTCTTTGAGCTTCTTTTCATTTTCTATTTTGCTATTAACATACTGCTCCAAATATTCTCTTGTTGCCTGATTAACATTTATCTGATAATGAAACCATTAGAACATATATCAAATCAGTCAAACAAAATTATGATAGCAGAAGCTCAATAAAACCTTGTTCTCACCGTTTTTTCTGTTAGCTCTAGGATATTAGATACAAACTCAAGAACAGGGCTTCTATAATATCCAGGTTAATTTATGCGTACTTTAAATTTGGGATAAAAAAATAAAACCCCACATATAACTCAATACTGACCTATAGTTAGAATATTAACATGGGTAAAAAGATATTTATTTACATTCTGATAAAGATGAATGAAGATCTGCTTGAAAGTTTTCAGGGAGTACGTAGGTGGATGATGCTTCTCTTTGACATCATTTTTGTAAAGCCAAAGCTTTGGAAAAGAACAGTATTAAATAACTCCAATTACTATTAAGTAGAAAATTATACGTACTGACAATTCTTGCCCATCGATATTAAATTTACTACACGAAGAACCCCTTAAATTCACAAAATCCAAAGGCTCTAAGAGTTCCCTCAGTGGGATCTTGGGCACGTTTCCAACCCTTGACAGGTCCACAAAGCTTCAAAAAGTGCACAAACATTATCAAACGTGGACAAAACTTCAAACTGGACCCAAAACAAGCTATCAAACTCAAAAAAAATCAAAGGCATACATGAAGAAGAGATAGCATAAAATCATTGTCTACAGTCGG